TTTTTGAGACAGAGACAGAGCATGAACGGGGGAGGGGCAGAGAGAGAGGGAGACACAGAATTGGAAGCAGGCTCCAGGCTCTGAGCCGTCAGCCCAGAGCCCGACGCGGGACTCAAACCCACGGACCACGAGATCGTGACCTGAGCTGAAGTCAGACGCTTAACCGACTGAGCCACCCAGGCGCCCCAAGTACTCCGTGGTTCTAATGTGAAGGCAGCCACAGACAGTACGTGCAGGGATGGGTGTGGCTGTGTCCCAATAAAACTTTATTCACAAATACAGGCAGCAGGGCTGGGTTAGGCCTGAAAGCTGTACTTGCCCGGCCCTCTAGGAGAAAACATTAGCAAAGGTAATTTTCCAAATGGCAGGTGATTTATTACTTCCTTCTCAACATTTATAGATCTATATTTGTAGACCTCTCCCTATTTTATTTTGACAAATACTTGCATAGTGCCGATTCTGTGCCAGGCACTATTCTAAGCACTTTTAAATTATAATTAAATCCTCATCAACACCCACTGAGGTCAGTATTATTATCCTGGAGGACAATGAGGACATCCGTTGGGGAAAATTGAGACAGAGCAGTTAAGTAACTTGCCCAAGGTCACACAGCTTGTGAACATCTAGTTCCGGGTCACATGGAGTCAGTCTAGGCAGTAAGGGGGGGGCGTCAGCCTGTGACTCTGCTGAGCCAGGGAAGAAAGCGGTCTCGGGACCAGCGGGCACTGTAGGTGAACTGACACGAGAGGGCTGGCAGGCGGCAGGCCCTCTGGTGGCCCAGACAGGGCTGGGTGCCCTACCAGCGTATTGTGGCTCTGTCCAGGCAGACACAATGTTGTATTTCTTAGCCTTTTCACCTCCAGAACCTGGCCCACTGCACGCAAACACTTAGCTGTTGATGATAACCATAAACTCAGCATAAAAATGTCCCCAAACCACAGCACGTTCAATGTGTCACATCCTGTCTCTAGGAAAAAAGACCTTTGCAGATGTGCTAGAGCCGCTGCCATGAAGCAGCCTTTAAGCCACGTCAGAAAAGCCACTGGGTCCTGCCGTGGGTCCCCCCACCTCTGCAGGCATTAGAAACAGGCCTCCCCAGCCGCCACCCCACACCGGGAATCGGGGAGCAAGGGCAGGTGACAGCCCCCGGCAGGAGCACATGTCTCCCCGAGGAAGAGCGAGGTGTCCCTCGCTGCGTCTCCTACCCCAGGCCCCTGCCCATCCCGTCGGTCCACCTACCGGCGTGATGACCGCGGCCACCCCGAGGGGCTGCTTCAGGACCAGCGCCCGCTTCTCCTTGGCGGGGGTGTAGATGACGTCTCCGTAGACGCGGCGGGCCTCCTCTGAAAACCACTCTAGGAAAAGGGCGGAATAGGCAACTTCCCCCTGTGCCTCCTTCAGCGGCTTCCCCTGGACCAGATCGGAAAAGGACACATTCAGAGGCGCCTGGGTGGCAAGGTCCGTTAAACGTCCAACCCCCGATGTCAGCTCAGGTCATGACCGATCGTGTCTGAGCCTGCTGGGTTTGTGCTGTGTGCTGGGATGTTAACGCATTCGCTTGATCTCGGCCCTCCTCCTGTTCCCTTCCCTACTTGTAGCCTTCTTCGAAGTAAGTAAACAGACTTAAAAAAATTAAAAAAAGAAAAGGACACATTCACTGCCTTCTAACCACAAAAGCCTGACTCCGCGCCTGGAAATTCTTCCAGGTCAAAGAGGCACTGCAGACGAGTCTCCTGTGCCTCACAAAACCATGTGGGAGCAGAGTTGAGAAATTCGTGACCCCAGTGAGCAGAGTTGGCTAAACGGTGACAGAAAAGCAACGAGTCTCACCCAAGCCACGGACCTGTTCTCGTGATCCAAGATAGTGGCGTGCTCTCCTTTGTTCTCCTCCAACATCTTCCTGGACCCCTGGTGTCATGTTACAGCTAACAGAAGGCCTGTTTTCAACGCATAAAACAATATAAAAAAAAAATCAACCAAAATCTAATCACATGGCAAAATAACTGGGAAAAAAGCATTATTCACATAGTTTCACCTAAATCATTTTTTTTTTAATTTTTTTCAACGTTTATTTATTTTGGGACAGAGATGGAGCAATGAACGGGGAGGGGCAGAGAGAGGAGACACAGAATCTTAGCAGGGCTCCAGTCCTGAAGCTCATCAGCCCAGAGCCCGACGGTAGGGCCCGAACTCCCGCGAGATCGTGACTCATTGAAGTCGGTCAAGCTTGAACTGACTGCTCCAGGCGCCCCTCAAAATCTATTTCCTCTCTTAGCTGTTGTATATTTACCTATAACCTCTCCTCCCACCTTCTGGTAGTTTGTTCTCTGTATTTAAGTTTTTTGTCCTTTTTACTTTTCCTGTTGTTCCTGTTTTTATGAAGGAAATCATAAAATGTACCCCAGTCGTTCTTGGACTGATTATCTCGTTTAGTGTAATACCCTGAGCTCCATCCGTGTTTCTTCATGTCACTAAGCGCGGTAGCCATAAGCAAATGCCTCAGCAAGATGAAAAGGGCCTGGTCATTAGCAACAGTTGGTGCCGTAAGGCACAAGAATTAGTTGGTATTCATAGGTGCTTGGTGGAGCTGTTGTCATGATCTCACGGCTCATGGGTTCGAGCTCACATCGGGCTCCCTTGTGCCGCCCAGAGCCCGGAGCCTGCTTTGTGTTCCTCCCTCTCTGTCTGTACTTCCACCTCCACCACGCCTCCCCCCCCCCTTCCCGCCCATCTCAAAAAATAATAAACATCAAAAAAAAAATTTTTTAATAAATAAACATTTAAAAAAAAGATTAGTTAGCATTTGGAATTCATTAGGTGAGGAACCTCTGACTCTTAAACCTGGGACAAAGTTTG